ATTTCCACTAGTTATGTGATGAGCATCCAGATATTCTTACCATGGATGTTTGGGTTACCATCGGATTCACATATAGATGGAGAAAGTATTGGCTCATAAAAGAATATGAAGGGTATGGATTATGTCTGGCATGTGCAGAGCAATTAAGCTCCAAGATAAATGCATTTTGCTATTTGTGTAAAGCACCAAGACCACTAGATTGGACTACTGGCAACAAGTTATTGGATTTATTTATTATGGAATCATGGAAGAACATGAAGAATAAATATGATGCGTATATCCAATTGATTGAGTACTCTCTATTGACCAACATACAAGAGATGACATCATTACGTCATAGATGCACACATATAGCAGATTGGGGAACAAATGAATTTACACGCGTAACACTCAAGAATATAGTTAACGAACAAAACGATCAGTTATTTGATGTTCATCAGGTAAATTAGTTCACGTGTAAAATGCAAATAATGTACTAACGTGTGTATCACGCGTTTAACGACTGTATTTGTTTACTCAAACAGCTAACTAAGGAATACCCCGAAATATTGACACCCGAGAATATTTGGATAATTGGGATCACTCAGATGCCATCTACTCGGAAATATTATTTAGTTTTCTACTACGACATACATGAAATATTGGATAGATTTATACAACTTAACAAGTATGTATGGTATATGCAGTATAGCGACTTTTATGAACTCAAAGAGATCGGATCTGGTGGTTATGGTACAGTTTATACTGCCAAATATAAAGGAAAAGAGGATATGCCACAAACTGTTGTACTCAAACGGTTTAAGAATTTTGATGAAACTCCGCCAGAATTATTTATTTCCGAGGTAAGTAATAATTGGTAGTATTAATTAAAGTGATATTTAATCTGACACTGTATTTTTATTTAATAGTTCAGAAATCATGCCAAGTGCACAAACAGGGGTTATGCTTTCCTTGATCTTTATGGAGTGACACAAGACCCAGAAACAAAGGAGCACATGATTGTTATGCAATATGCTAACAATGGTAGTCTTTTGTCTTATTTGGATCAAAATATTAACAACTTGACGTGGAAGATGAAATTACAGTGTTTGAGGAGTATTGCAAATTATCTGGATAATATTCATCGCATGGGATTAGTACATTGTGATCTTCATGGCGGAAACATAGTTTTGCATAATTATGATGACAATGATATGACAAAACCACTCATATGCGATCTTGGCTTCTCACGATCAGTGGATTTACGCGAGTCAAATTCAACCATTCGAGGCGTTTTACCCTTTATTGCACCGGAAGTCTTCCATACCCGCGAGTTTACTCAGAAATCAGATGTGTATTCTTTTGGTATTATTATGTATTTGATTGCTACTGGTGAACCACCTTTTAGAGATAGACCCTTTAATAGAGACTTAGTATGTGACATTATGGGCGGACTACGACCATCGATGCCTGATTCCGCACCGGAGGAATACAAGAAACTTGCCGAGCGGTGCTGTGATGCTGATCCTGATAAGCGTCCAGATGCATTTACACTTTGGGATGATATTTGCGGGCTTATTTATAGAAGTATTTTTAGCAGTAACACGTGGAATACCATCTATCGTAATGATGTAAGGCCTTTATCACGTCTCGAGAAGGAGAGTAAATATTCTAGTACGTTCTTACTTACTGGAGATCTGCCTAAACCGAGGAACAGTTGCGATTCAACTGCAGGTAACAGTTTACATGTTGATATTGAATAACATTATTTTGCAATACTAACATTGTCGTCTATTACCCTATCACTTAGTTACTCAAAATTTTGAATAAGAATTTAGCCATGACTGGTATGTCAAGGCGAGTCGAATTAACAAAGTTTTGATGAGTTCTATCTGTAAAATAGAATTGGTGCTGATATGCTCTACGATCGATGTGATTTTGTGGTAGGTTTTTTGGTCCTAGCCAGCCTAACATAAATTAAAGCATAGTGTTTGCAATGGGAAATGTACCGTATAACAAAAATGTTCATGGCACGTCGAATATTTCTATTCTGTAAAGTTTAATCGAAACACTGCGACCTATGAAGAGACATTTGGCAATTACTTTGGTTAAACCGTGTGATCTAGTACTAGAAATAATGGTGACAAATTCCCCGATAATAATGTATAATAAAAACTACTTGTTGAACGAATAAAAATAGTGCTGAATATAAGCGCCACAAAATTATGTGGTTTAAATCTTTCTATGTTTCAAGGCCCTATCCTCCAACATATATTTCGCACTTTTTCCATCAACTCATTAACAGTACTCTGCAATATTAGTTCTCTGTTCCTCCGTTTGCTAGATAAGTATGGCGGTTTGCTCGTGCACACGTTCATAGAAAATGTGTTTACACGGCAGCAGTTTATTTGTTGAGGAGCAAACAATCACAGCTTTTCTGAAGTCAGACTAAAACATTCATTTCTTATCATTATTAAAAATTTTATTGAGTAGTTCTCGTTATTTAGGTTAACCCAGTAAGCAGATATTTTCTTGGCCCGAAAGTTAAAGTTAGCGTACTCTGATTCAATATTATGGATAATATTCCTGGAATGGAATCGGTAATAAAGATAAGACGCATAATATGAAGAATGTTTGTTTGAGTATCAGTTGATAATATTGTATATGATAATTTCTCAACCGCAAGAATCAATATCATATCCTTTTGGTCTCGATAAGTCGGACCACGTGATTTTTAGAGAGACTATCTTTGCCGGTTTAATATGCAATACAATTAATTATCCAATAATTTTGCTTTACCGCTTTTCGTAATTGAAAAGGTTGCTGAAATGATTGATTGATGAAGAGAAAAAGAACGAGGGAGGGAAGAAACATGGTTGTTTTGAACAGCGGTCAAAATATATTCGATATTTACAACAAATTTTGATATAAAAATAAATGAATCAGAATGAATAACCTAAAACATCAAATTGGAAGAAATGAAGACCTCGAAAACTCAAATTAAAAGGAAGCGACATGCTTCTCTGAAACGGCTTACGTTATTATTATTACTCTTATATTTAAATAAAAGGGTGTTTCTTTTATTTTAAAGAACGAAATAAATAAGTCAGATCTCTCGATAAATCGGACAAAATCTCCGCCCCGGCGAATCCGACTTATTATTATTGAGAGTGTCCATGTAATACATGTATATTGATTTATATAACAGAGAAGCACCATCACTGGCGCCAAAATCAACATTTATGTAAAATATTAATATATTCCGATACGATTAAAGTGCCAATCAATGGAGGTAGGAGTGGAAAAATTGATAGTGGAAATTATCTTTCAAACAGGATAACGTGTACAGGAATAATAAATGAGTAGCGAGTAGAATTGAAAATGTAAGAAACGTGAACGCCAATCATTAAACATTTATTGATTCATAGGTTACTCATTGAAGCCTTATGGCAAACCGATCCGGTGAGTTGGAGAATAAATCAATAATCATATTTTTGTGAATTTAGAAACAAGTGGTCCTTACGTGATATTCGCACGAAAGTTTCGAAGTTCAAGTGTGGTAGGCTTACATATTAATATAGGTTAACTCTGCCATCAATGTGGGAACACCATTTTGATTGAACTCTTTTGTTTTGAAATCTTGTATTACGGCCGAATTTTACTTTGACTGGAACTAGTCACTAACGCCACAAATTAGGCATCGCGTTCCACGCGATCTGAAGGCGTTGACCGTGCTGAAAACCAAGTATCGCTTTGCGACCGGTAATGCAGCTTGTGAATGTTGCTTCTACTGCTGGAAAAGGCATTATTAGAGCAGTAAGTACGATCGTCAGTGAAGCTAAGATTGCTGGTGGTGGTCAATTCAGGGTTTGTTCTGCCAATTAGTATGGGTGTTCGGTTGAGAATTGGTTCTGCCGATTAATTGAAAGAATATGAATGCGACACTACAAACTTTATGAATCATACTAATAGTTGATGCGCAAGGTCGACTATCGTTCTTGAAATGTCCGGTGATGACTTACATTCTTTTAAAACAAAGAACGATGCAGCGTTTACCCAAGAAAAAGGTCACGCAAGCGGACATTAGCGGAACTTTAAGAACCAAGAGGAAAAGAACAACGTAAATAGAATCGTAGGTTTATCTAGTAATTATACATATTCATGTAGAAGCTGTATTGCTAATAAAAACCATAATGAATTAAGGAAGTAACAGTCGAGAAATTCCTGCACGTATGACTTCACTTGAGGGTTACCGTAACAGAGTTTATTGAATCCCAACAGAGTTGAATTATCTGCTTATGACTATGAGGATTAGGAAATTAGATACTTCGCAAGTTTACAGCTTACTGTACTGTTTCCACGTGTCATTTATGGATGCTCGTAACTTGGCTTTCTCGGCTTTGATAGCAGAGATCGTGATTCTTTTAATAAAAAACTTCAGGCCGGTTGTTCATATATAATTGAATTAGAAGACTCTAAATTCTCCAAAGTTTTAATCAGCTCATCCCATACATCCTTCGAAAAAGCGCTCATGCTTTAGTGCCAGATAATCTAATTGCATTTGTACATAAGTAAACTAGATCAATATAACACAAATAATAATTCGCTATGTCAACAGTGAGATAGTGATGATAGAGATATACTCCTGTTTGTGAATTTCAGCAACATGCTTAGCCGATTGATGCCAGACATCAATCGACGAACGTATGTTCATATCTCCCAGCCATAGGCCTTGGTCTTCACTACAAGCAGGAACGTCGGATATAAGAGCCTCATCATCCTCAGCTACCTTATTCTCCACGTCTTTATTCCTAGTGATCGCAAGAATCCTTGGTGAATTATTGTAAACTTGATCAGTCAGACATGCAATTGTGGCCTTACCTTTTTCGTTGTTGGTTTGATCTTCATCCCTATGCCGGGTACTGTAAACTAAAGACCCTCTTTATCTTTTGACAACTCGTTCTGCATTTTCTTTATTAGCGTTTTAACTTGAATGTCAAGAACATCAACAGGAGTTGATGAGCTGGTTTGACAAGAGAAGTCGAGCTGTAATATAAACAAATGATATGTTTTTTACTAATTTATACCTTCTTCCCACAACGTTTGTTTCATATAATGGATAAGCGTCGTCGTCTTTTAGCCATTTGACATAAGGTTAGATTTTCGCTTCATTCAGTAGAGCACCAAAGTTCCAGATTCTATTCATGAGGAAGCATACTTTAGCATGTTGAAGAATCTTGAAAAGAAAAAAATTGACCCTCGTTTAGCTTACGAGTCTGTACTGCATTGTTTTCCTTAGGATAGAATGTAGCTTCGTATGACAACTGGCCTCGTTGTTCCTTATTGATGAACAATTTTGCCGTTCTATGATAAGTTCTATCGATTTATATATGGTTTCTAATGCGGCGTACGCAAAAAAATCCCATTGTAGACTCACTCAGTCAAAGCCCCATTGGACTTATAAGTCCCGTCTTGTTCTCTGCAACAAGTGCAGGCACTTCCCAATAACTGGCCTTTTTTTCTCAATTCATGACCAACGACTTCATTTCCCTGAATGAATGAACCGGGACATAAAATCACTCTTCTGACTAGACAGTTTCGAATTGTTATCCATAACTGACGTTCGATCACGATATTTCGAGCCAAGAAGGGCTTGGACGTAGGGATCGGAATATCGGGATTGCCTAATATAGTCCATAACGATAACAGGCGCTTGGCTTAATCCTTTACGAAATCCCGTGCATCTCGCTCGAATCAGATATGCCGCCTGTTTGTTAGGTATTGATTTTTCAGAATTATACACACCAGACTGTGGAATCGGCTGTTCAGGAATTCGCTCAGCCATTGGTAACCATTCAACGTCGAAGTAAATCTCGCCAGAATTAATGTTATCGAATAACAGGAACAGTACTATCACATCCTGCTGCTCTATCTAATCAGACGGCCCTCTAGCACATGATGCAGATCACGAAATAACGATGACGTATTCCCACTCAGAGTTTAGTGAAACAATACTAAATAACATTATCACATTATCACATAAATACCAGGAATTAGGCCAAGTTTCTTTATTTATTCAGCAGCTCTTTGAATTCCAATAAATCTACTTTTTTGCCATTACTTATTTACCCTATCAATTTATTATTTGCGCTCAATTACCTCAATTGCTGATTAAAGTGTAAAACGTTTTCCGAATCAGCGGCTAGGAATAGCGTATACAAGACAGATCTAGCATCGTAGTTAATGTTCACTAATTGTCGTTTAAGATTTATCGATAGTAGAAATAGTCAAAGAAGATACTAATACTAAATCTCAAAGTCGTTACTCGAATGCTCCCCCACGTGTATCGATCCGACAAGATTAATATCAATTATAACGTATATTCCTCCACGAGGATTTTGATCATACATCGCCATTTACTGTATTAATATTTCTCTGACTCAAGTACTCCGGGTATTTTAATATTTTACTATAGTACACTGGGCCTTAATTCGGGGGGGGGTATTTTGGTGTAAGGAAAGTGGAATTATACATGTGTCCTTATGCCTAATTGGCAATTGTTTGGCAGCATTCTCGTCAGCTTAACATCATGACAAGATACAACACTGTTCGCAGAGCACGACTAAGCAATAAGGTTTGCATTTGGAGAGGAGAAACAGTATATTAATATTGCATTAGAGAATTGAATGAATAATACTCTGGATATTTTACTCGATAACATTTATTTCTTCGAAAATAGTACCCGGGAATTTCACTCGGGGGTATTTTAGTCAGAAAAATGCGGTAGCATTTTGTCCCAATAATAAATAGTAATGCAATTTGCAATCAATAACTAAATCTAGGGGACACCAACATCGCGTAGCAATAGAAGACAACCATACACATTGGCAAAATCAAGTCTATAAGCTTTTGCTAAAATTAGTGCGATGTGTTTAATTACTTTCGATTCTTTTATTATTACAAATATTTCTAATAACCGAGTAGTTCTACTCTGAAATACATTATTGATGATTTGTTCCCTGATAGTTATCGTTATAGTTGTGATCCCTGTATTGATTAGGAATATTTGCTTCTTGTCTCGTGGATATTCTCGGGCGCTATGATGTTATTCGCTTAAGTGGAAACGCATTTTTGATAAATAGTAAAGCCTAATTTAAAGGTTACTAATTGCCGTTATATTTAATCAAAGTAGAAAAAGCCTCAGCTCCGTTCGAAAAATAGTTAAATCTCAAGAGTTATAACACTTTTCCTTGTAGGACTTGGTCGACCGGTGCATATTAATATCTATAAGACAAATTGATGACAACTAATGAACTTACGATTAAAAATGCTTCGACCGACGTTCACTATGATCTCCAATGTCTTCTCTAATGACAGAGATTCCAACTGGTAATCTCTAGCTTTTAGAATATGGGGACTGGACAATCAAAATGGTCTGATTACAAAATAAGTTTGGTCATATTCTCACTAGTAAAACAACAGTTTAATGTTGATTAATATGAGGCTGAATTTCGAGATTTAAAACCCAAATTTATGCAGATAAATAAACGATATCATCTCTTGTTGGTATTTGGCAGATATTAAATTTTGGGTCCATATTGAGAAGGATTATTGCCATCATGTGTTAATTGAGATTTGATAGTCCAGTCCCCATATGCTAGGCTTATTTATTTTAGTCGTTCAAATAGTCTACGATGAAGTCATCGCTTATAAGCGCTTATTTTCGGAGGCATACGTATTCAATGTTACAAAGTTTGATTATTTTCATCAGTACCATCTTCTGTGTTGTGGGTTCCAAATTGTTGATTGGTTCCTCAGTGGCTAATATTAAATGTTAAGTTACCTTTTAATAGTCAAAACCTACGAAGTTTTAAATTGTTAAGTCTTTCGAGAAAAAAGGCTGGACTTTTCAAATTAATCCCACTCACACTTGACCAGTTGGCGCACGAGTTTGCTTATAAAAAATTTTTCTTAATTCTCTTTTTATAGCAAAAATCGAAACAAACGTTGTACAAGTTAAAGAGAATGTGTTGAAAAAAAAGAAAAGCTTTTACTATTGAAAGTGATCAAGGAAAAACTTCAATCTCAAACTCTTTAGTTATAATATTTATTGTTAATTTGTAATATATAATAATAGCAACCATAGATTATTGAGTGAGCATTTGTTGTCTTATATGATAATTCCCAACCTACTGTATATATTAATAAACCTTATGTATGTTCATAAAAATTAGTTAAAACTTGGCTTTTTTACACAAAACATCTTATTCTTGTCTACCAGAATCAAACCCGGGAATGACTATAGAGAAATATAATGTTCTATGCAATTAAGCCTCCTTTTTTACGTTACGTGTACTTATAAAGCAAAGTGTTACCTAATCAATCTTATATAGCTTGTTTGCTTATTTTTACTTTTAAGTAAAGTCATTCATAATAATAACATAATCGTTAAAAGCTTCTAAATACTGCATTTTTCCAACCGCAGTTTTTTCTTGCTTAGAAAATCCTATACCAGTAAATATACTAGATTAATACACGTACAATCAACGACAGAAAGCATTAGGTGATTTACCTCTATTTCTGAACGTTTTCGTCTCTTCATTCTAACCTGTCTAGTGCTCTCAGCTTGTTGAACACGCTTTTTGATAACTTTCTGTTGATGAGAGACTGATTTTCCGGATACTCGGTTCAACCACGTAGTTATTGTTGTCTTCCATTGTCTAACTTCATTTAGAGGAAATTTACCGTCTTGCTCAAAGCGCACCAGATTTTGCAATAACGTCTTTAAATGTCTTTTCAAGTTGTCAGTAGATTTTTCCATAACTAATATATCTTCACTTGAAGATAACAATTCTTTTACTTTTTCCCAGTTTTCTTCAGTCATATTCCTTGCCTTTTCCCAAAAGTCTTTAATTGACGTTGGTTTTGTAGATACGAAAGATGGTGCATGAGGCGTTATCTGATTATTCTATATAATGAAAACTGTAATTAGTTTGTGCATGCAAATCGAATATATAGATTGATTAGTAAAACATATAAAAAATCTTTTTCTTCAAAGAGCTCTATTGTAGGTATTTACTATGTAAGTCGGAATGACTTTTTGAAGCCAATTGGGTTGTACTTTCAAAAAAAATTAACAAAGGAGTATGTAGATACTGCCACTTCATCGAAGGTATCATCATTTTCTTGAAAGTACATCCAATTATTTTCAAATTGGTACAAATTATTGTGACTTACATAGTAAATAACTACAATGGAGCTCTTTGAGAAAAAGATTTTTATACGTTCTATTAATCGATCCGCAATTTTGTCGATACCTGTTTCGAATGAATCCCGATTCTTTACTTACCATTGCATCATCATTGGAATTGCGATAATTATTGCTATAGTTACTATTAGTACCAGAACGTTGTTTTTCGTGCAGTTGTGCGGTAATTTGTCTCGCAAGTACTTCGGTAGTTTCTTCTTCCTAATGAGTTATGAGAACAATTACTAATCTATCAAGTATTGTAAAAATCAGTTCATGCACTCATACCTGCTTAATTGCTGGTTCAGAATGTTCTTGCTTACAAATCGGCTCATCGATAGTATTACATAAAAGGCTATTGCTACCACTATATGATGGTGTAGCGAAATCCAAGTCTAAACTGTGCTCGTCGTGTACGTCGGTGTCTTGAAGCTGCCTTACTAAATTCAAGTCCGTACATGCCTTTTGGCCAAACACCAATTCGTAAGGCGTCGTATTTGTTACGCGAGAAACTGATGTGTTTATTGTGGAAGTTACTGTCGAAAGTCCTTTGCTCCATTTTGGAGTTTTATTTGACTCCATCCATTCTACCAGACTTTTTTTAAAAATACCGTTAGCTTTCTCCACAACCTCTGGTGATTTGAGGGACGACTTTCCATGAATAATCTTTGATTGTGGCCACATTTTCATTAGTTTTTGAATAACGTTTGTTGTAAATTTTTTCCCATTGCTTGATTGAAGAATCAATGGTGCGCCGAATACAATAAACACGTTATAAAGCGCATTTGCTACCTCTTGAGAGTTTTTGACTCTTAGTGGAGCTGTCCATAGCCATTGTGTATAACAATCTTTGACAAGACAAACGTATTGGAAATTTTCATCTTTATGCGACATCTGTACAAGATCAACTTGAACTCTAGTTAAGAATTTTGTCTTTATAATGGGTCTTGTTACAGGAAATCTTTCTATACGTCTATGAGCATTACACACAGAACAGTGACTGATAAAGTTTTCCACCAAGTCTTGCGTAATGTAAGCGTATTTTGAGGCAATGGCATTCCAAAAGGCAGTCATTCCAGGGTGATGGAGTTTGTCATGAACATCAGTGAGAACTTCAAACAAACGTTCTTTTGGACAGACAGGACGTGCTGGTCTTGCATTACGTCCTTTAGATTTTTTATAAAGTACGTGGCCTTGTCCGTCTTCGCTTTCTCTTAGTTCAAACGTTGTACGGACCTGCAAAAAGCCATAAATATTTGTTACAATAGACTCGGAGATGGTAAACGTTTTTCTTCTACAACACAACTTACCCAGTGTCGATGCTTCTTGTCAGCCAATCTTATATTGTTAGGGTTTAGCAAAATAAGGATGGCTTGATCATACATTGCCTGCGTAATAAAGGCTTTGGCCTGTCTCTTCTTAGAACGCTTTTCGATGTAATTGACAAGGATTTTGTTAAAGGTTTCAGGCGTAACAGAATTGTAGTTAACAGACATTTTCTTTTAAAATGTAGACAATAAGCAGTTTATGTTGCTGCGTGCAGAGTTCTAAGACTTTTTTATTCGAAATATTGCCAAAGAACGAAGTGAGAGTCGAAAAACCTCATTACATATTTATGTACCACAGCCGCATTCTATGTAACACTTCTCATGAGATACATGACGTGAATAAATAAATAGACTAGTCAATCCGGTATTCTTGAATAATTAATTGAAGTCACGCACAAAGACAAACGCTATTCTACTAAAACAATTGGTGCAGTTTGCGCATTTCTTCTTGAGAATCGAGACCACAGAAGTGAGATCTATTACACAAGTAACTTAACGAATTAAAATCGTACCAAAATAAAATTAATGTATTAAAAAAAAAACACTTGTGCGTCAAGTAGTATACACATGTCGTAAGTTATTGTATTTGGAAGGACAAGTCATAGATAAATAAGGTAAATAAAACATATAAGTGTGTGCATTTGAAACAGCTGACATATAATTTAATTTAAACACGTTTTTGTTCTTGTTTGAGTCACCACATTATGTAGAATTCTGTGACTGTTGAAAAATTACTTTAAAACCAGGCATTAACAATCCCTATCGGATTAAAGTATCGGAATAAATTTTTAATTCGGTTTTTATACTCCTTATTTTAGAATCCTTAAAGGTGTGTGCCAAATAGTTACCGTATTATGTCGATGGTTAGTCGGACAATATTCCAGTTCCAAATTGATACTTGCTTGATACATAGCATAAAGCGATGCTTTGTTATATGAACATTCATCAAGATCGATCGTGTTTAACATTATTTTGTTACTATTATAAAAGAGATTTTTTTCTGAGAGAATACGCTTCCCTATAAGGAAATTTTCGATACAACAGGATCGTGACGAGATGGGTTCAAAACAAGTTTTTTACGAGTATCCCAGTCTTTTAATGGTGTAACCAACAAATGACGTTTTCGAATTTGTACTACACGGGGATCGATCTCGAGTGTATTATTTATTGCACAAAGTTTATTCTTGCCTTAACATTGTCGTGTATTAGGACAATGGTAAGTAAGGGTAACTGAATCTATAAATAGAAAGTTCCATCCATCGAAGAGACATACCACTGAAAACTCTAACCATGTTATTTGACAACTGTATGGTTTCATTTTAATCCTCCAATTGTTTGGCTGGTTATCAGACAACCGGATAAATTCAAACCGATGCTGTGATAATCGGAAGTTTTTACTGGACCATGAACAAACCCTTTTTTGGTAACATTATTGAGGATTATGCCATCGTGATCAACTGTTATTTTTCGTATTAAGTATTCTGGGTTTGCTCGCTGACTGCACCACAAACACCGCATAACCAGAGGGTGCTCTGATGTGATGGCTAAGGCTTATTTGATATGTATTGTAACAGCAAACAAATTTGTGTATGTAGTATTCGCAGATTACGGAGTTAGTTATATCCTATCCAGTCAGGTGTTGATTAATAATTTTATATGGCAGTGATCAGCAGCAACTGAAACTTAATTTCAATTTCTGATTAGTCGTGGATATACTGATACTGGAATAGCCAATTTTTATCAACAAAAGCCACCGCATGCTGATATTACACATACGTAAACATATAGGCATTATTGAACATATCTGATACGCCACATTAGCCCATTGTCGTGCATAATATTAACCAGGAGTTTATTGTGTATGGAATACTCGTAATCGTATTGCCGTTACCAATCTCAAACGAGGTGTGGGCTCTTGCTCATAATAACAAATATCCGGCTTATTTATGCCTATTGATGTTTGGTTTCCACAAACTTTAAATTTTTAATTCTATGCTGGAGTGTAATAGAAAGACATTTTACAATACTAAAAACATTTGTTTTGTTATGTAATAACAATATTCAATTACTGGTATTACGTAGTAGTACGCCTCAAAATTTTACGAACAAACAAACCTATTTTTACTAGATTGATTTCGACTGATGGGTTTCAGCTATTCTAATTGCACATATGTCTACTTTTGTCATTTTTATTATGTCAAACACGCTTTTGTATACCAATATAGGTTCTATAATTTGACTCTTTGCGTTAGACATTATATGTTGTATGCAAATCCCGTCTCCCAAAAATAAAAACAAAACAAAACAAAACAAAATCACCGATTAGTGATAAAAATTTTTTTACCGACTGAAATCTGCTGAGTAAGTGTACTAATAATGACAAATTTACTTTGAAATACGACAGAGTTTAAATAAAATTAATAACTAAGACAGTTACATTATCTTTATGACATAGCACTGTGCATTTCTGCTTGGTTTTTCTACAACCACGGCGGCTATTAGTACATGCACCTTTACAATTACATCTTACTTGACTACCGGATGCAGTTCTAACTAAGCTTTGGCCTCTTGCCACTTATTATTTATTGAGGTATACCATAAGCGACATTCAGAATTCCGGTAGCACATCCCAGATATTTTCCATCTGATTTTTCGATCATTCTACAAGTACAAGGAAGTAACGATCGGTGGTTCTTCTATTGGTTCGGGATGCAATACAATTGTAAGCAAGCATGGCTCGACATATCATTGTGAAAATATGTTTTGAGTTACTAATACGTTAGTGACTATTCTTCTATTGGTGCGATGACGTAATTTGAATAGAAACGATTGTATTAAAATAGCGTAATCAAAGCATATTAATGTTGCGAAAAAAATGCTTTGAGCGCTGAATATACTAGCGTTGTTTCTCCGATTGGTGCAAAGAATAGGAATACACTTGTATTAAAATGGCGTAACAACATGGCCCCGACATTTTAAATAAGTTAGTAATTGACATATCGATTAAAGTCGCTCATGATATGTGTTACGGAAATCGATTCATGGTATTTAGGACTTGAACAAAATTGGTTTAAGCATAGTGCGTTTATTCCATTTTGGCGTCCAAATCACCAATGGTGGGACAGGAAATTACCCAGCCCAATTGATTTATTCTAAATACGGATGGATCGTGTGAATTAACAGATATCAAAGAATTTGTTCAAGTGATAAAAGGATAGTAGTGTACTGTCATACTATTATGTCGTTTGAAATCTTATCGAAAATCAATTATATTAACGTCTTAATATTTGACAAATTATCAATTACTAGTCATACAAGTTCACGACTATTCTATGGCATATAATTTCAGTGTGTCGAATAATTATGATCAGGCATATGGCCTACGATGTTTATGGTTAGTCAATATTATACATCAAACTTTTTTGAATAATATAGTTTTAATCATACTATTATAAATCTTTCTTCGACAACTTTGGCCTAGCTTATGCAGATTGTTTTGTAAGCAATAATAAGGATGTGCATACAATTCTTCTTTTGACGGCGATACATATGTTCATTGATCTGGAGATTTGAATGACTGATGAAACGAAGTTTAATAATAAAAGTACGTTAAAGACGTTACGTCTACTGAAAATAGAGAAAGTATATTTTGATAGTAAGAGCAAATAAAGTGGATTATGCGGTTTGGGGATTTATATGTGTAAATGCGGTTTTGGGGACATTTACATAGTGACGGGATTTATCTTCGAGGTGGGATACAACTGAGGTATATACAGTACAGTATGTGTGTGCAACGTTATTTAAAGCATGTGTGGCCTGAATTTATTGATATTAAATTGGTAGTACAAGCCTGGCACAGATTATATAAATAGAAATGGCATAATATTTGTGTAATACAAGTGTCATAATAGGGACTATAGAATTTGGAGGTAGGGATTATCTGAGTGAGGTAGATTTATACTGATATACAATAAGTCCAGCTGAAAAGCTGGGATATAGCCGAGGTTGGGACACAATAGGGGGATACGAATGAGGTACGAATTATATTATTCATGGTTTGTCAACTCTTCTTCGATATATTCAGATCAACGCCAAGCATAATTATACCGCCGTAAACACATATTTGGGTTTAAAACTGACAATCAGTCAATAAAGTTCTATATCGGCATGTTCCACAACTAATTAAATAGTTAGAATTAACTTATTGCGGTTCAAATCAATCTTGGTTATATATCTTGAATTAAATCGGCTTAACGGATTAGAAACTGCAAGCCAAATTCTAAACTAAAATTTGATTAAACTTTTTTCGGATTTGATGTTTACTTAAGATGACTATTATTATTAATAGGTAGGGTTTAAATACTTTCTTTAAAAAAAATTTTTTTTTTAATTGTATCCATATTTACAGATGTATATTCAAGATAGCTTGTTATGTTCAAATTATTCAGTAGCCAAGATTGGCTGGTTTACGAAACTGGGGTAATAACAAAATCTATACACTTAAATTGTGAACATTAATTCAGCGCAAAAACTTGGCGTACACTTAACATTGTTCGGTAAATTTAAGTGTAAGAAAACTATGTTGTTATTATCAGCTTTTGTCACAATCGATGGTGCATACTATGTCTATAACGTATAATGTACGTGTAATACTTGTTGCATTGGCAGCAGCCATCATATAAAATTTGTTGTATGTCAATTTGGAATGGACATATGTCAGGTTGGAATTTACGTCAATTCTGAATCGACATATGTCAGTTTGGAATAATGTGTGGATAGATAAAAGATATTTATTAAGAAATGTCAATTATGTATGTATATTAATGTTGTTATAAAAATGGTCGTTAAGGGTTATATTGTACTAATTATCATAACAAATAAGTGATCGTGTTTTTACTAACGAGTTTATTAGTATGTATTGTAAGAGTCGCTTGAAGTATTGACCAATGATTATCGAACCCGATTTTGTTTGTTAAGTGTAGATCTATCATACGATTATTTGTTTAAATTATTGAATATTGACAGTAATTTTAGTAGTTTACGGTTAGATAGTAAATGTAAACGCCTTTGTCAATGTGTGTGGACTAATCATCTAATCATACGATGGTTTTGCTTAACCTTATTGGTACATTATGGTTAGACTGTCAATGTAGCTAATCACACACAATAGTTTATATTAAATTATTGGATAGAATCATTTAACATATGGTTAGATTGATTTTGATATTTGTGTCGATGATTTGCGTTGAAAATTATTGGTACAAGTTTTAGCACTATGATTAGACCATAAGTAAAGCCTATTTTGACGATGATTTGCATTGAAAATTATTGGTACAAGCTTTAGACTGTGAATATGGTCAATGTTGTCTAACCACATGTTAATTTGCATTGAAATTATTGGTGTCATTTTTAGCATTACGGTTAGATTGGACTGTAAAGATGATCTAACCGTACGATAGTTTGCATCGAAATAATTGGTGTAATTTTTAGCATCACAGTAGACAATATTGCAGTTAAACGAAGACTAAAACTTTATGATATTTGACCCCGTCATTTAATAATGCGATAGGATTCGCCACGAATACTTCGACACTTGACATTAGTTTTAAATACCAAATTCAGACATAATACATATTTTAATGGTTGAAAGACATTTGCCTCTATACTAATGATGATAAAACATCAAGCAAGTTATCGTACGAATTAGATTGTCATAATGAAAATGTATGCGGAGGGAATAGTGTAAAGAACATCGATGCAATTTAGCACAATGATATAATTATACACGTATTTCTTACACCTTATACGATATAAGAGCTTTATCACAAGTCATGCAGTTCTATAGTGAAAATACTGAAACAGGCATTTTCATAAACGACTTATTATTTTTAGAGTTTAACATGACATGTCATTTATCAACTAGCCTGTGTATATCATATTTACTGCTGTCGCTTGATCATTAACCTCATAGGAATGTAAGTCATAATATACGTGAAGTAATTTGCAATAGCGCATAAAAAAACATGTAATATTAACAGTATTATTACCAATATTAAAAGATGATAATAGCGAACGAAGAGTTCGAATTGTAATAAGCTCATTTCTTTTTGCTGAAACAAATGATTGGCTTTTGATATGTGAGAACTATGGAATTGAGTATTACGATATAATATGGTCAACATAACATATATTATGTTGTATGTAAATCCGGGATTTACATAGTGACAGGATTTACATACAACGTACATTATTTTGACAAAGTAATAAAATACGTTGCGTTCCAATTCCAATCTGACATATGTCGATTTCAAATTGACATACAACAAATATGACCGTGATAATAATTGCTTAACACTAAATTTATTTTGTTTTAATTTTAACTTAAAAAGTCGTAAGCACGGTTTAATTACAATGTGTTAAGAAAAAATGGCCGTTAATTAAAAGATGCGTTCTTTTTGTAATACATAAAGAAATACGCGAAACCCAAAGGCAACATTACTGGTTCAACGGTACTAATTCAGCCAAAGAAATAACAAACATTCCCCTTCGTACTGTTGAACGTAATCTCGAAAAACAGGTACCGTTGAGCACAAGCGAGGAAACAGACATAAACCAAGGTTACACAAACCACCTACGGTCAAAGCTCGATATAGTGAAGTCAGCGTAGATGGGCATTTTTATTCACTGTATCGAAATTTTTCAATATAGTAAAGTTTATATATAAGTGACATAAATCTTTACTATGTCAAGAGGCTGGCAAAATCTTATAATAATAATAGTGCATAGCTCAATGTATTAAGAGACGTTTTTTGTTAATACGCACAATATTTGACTCAGCAATATCAAATTGCTTGCTATTTTACTTGACTAATTCCTCGTTTTTTTAATCGGCATATTTCAGCTCTCTGAGCGCCTGACAAACTTTGCCTTGAATTGACTTCTTTTTCTTTCTCTTTATAACATCTTCATACTTAAAATTTCTCACTGTCAATGTATTTAGTAAAGAATATTCTAAAACGTAGTTTTATTATAATTGATCAAAATTCGCGAAATGCAATTTAATAGTATTGTTTGAGAAAAAACTATAGCTAATAACGAGCATAACGAGTATTACTATATAACTTCACTATATCGAGTAAAAGTTTACTAATGCTGTTTTTGTACCAGAGAAATTCTTCACTGTAGTGCAATCTTCACTATATCGAGTCTTCAATATATCGAGCTTTGACCGTATCGCGTTACCGGACAGCATAATAGTGTTCTTTCAACCCGTCAACTTGCTGCAAAATGTAGAATATATCAATTTCGCATGTTACTGTATGGGCAACAGGACAATAATCCAAAGCACGCGTCACGTATTTTCTTGCTGAAAATTCAATCCATATATACTGGCCCCATCCAACAGTCCGGACCTCAATCCAATTGAAAATATGTGGCAAATCATGAAAAATACGTTGAAAAGCAAATGCCACAAACTACAGACAAATTAATGAGATTTATGGTTGAGGAATGGGATGCAATTCCTCAGGAGGTAGTTAATAATTTAGTCTCCTCTATGCAAAGCAGATGCAAAGCTGATGCAAAGCTGATGCAAAGCTATTTTATTGCATGACGGCAATAAAATCTCACACTGAAAATTTACTATTAATAAGATACCTAATGAGCTTTCAAATTGAATTTGTACTTGTTAAGATATACAGTTTTTGTTACCGCCCGTTTTTTTCTTAATACGCTGTATGTTTAGAATACAAAAATCGTACACTATTGGAGCAAATAGGTTAAATAAGCTATAAGTGTTACATCTGAGTTTGGGACCTGTCTCGGTTCCGAACCCAGTCACTCAGTCCAGAACTCAGTTGTCTCGGTCCAGAACTGAGACAGGTCCCAAACTGAGGTACAACATAGTAACGATGTGCATTAAGCTTTGCTTAACCGCCCGCATAAAAATGAAATAAGTTTAACCAAAGTAAAGTAAAGTACAAGTTAGTCCCGATATAATGACACTGTTACATAGCGACATCTCGTTATAATGACAGAAATTGTAGAATAAAATCTATATTGCTTAGTTATTGTATGTGAGTTAATTCTTGATAATGACATACTCGATATAGTGAACATTTGGGTGTCGTTATATAGAGACCCACTTGTATATAAAAAAGTATTTAACCTAATAAAACATTGTCAAACTTTATGCATAACAAATACACCGTAAATAAACTCTCACCGTTCTATCATGAATAAGGGTTGTAATGCTTAAGGAATAACTAACCTCCCACCTTCCTCATCGCCCAGCCCACTTGATTATCAACCAATTAACATCTTTCTTAGTATTGTCGCAATTCGTAATTATGTAATAACTAACGATAACGCGGACAATTGTTACGTGACTATTTGCGGATCATTTTTCATTGTTTTAAGGCGCAACCAAACATCACACGAATAGGAACCCCCTCATGTAATGAAAATAGGCCCTTATTCATGAGAGTTTACGTAAGTATATTTGCTCTTTATTTGCCATATTTTAACAATCTTGCATTTCACAACAGGACACTAATTTTGTTGCTTGCATGCATCGATTGCTAAATTTATATTTATAATTGGAACCAACCTAGTATTTACAATTAACTTTTCTAAAAAATAAAATTTGCGATCAGTTTATACAGAAATTTTATTTTTTTTGGCTCTCTTGCGCTACTTTGCGCAATCCTCTAGTATTAATATGCACGATTTAATTATTAGTACATTTTCATTGTTCATCTCAATATAGGCTAGGCTAATCAACTAATTTTAGATTAAAGTTTAGTATGTGATTACTCCTCAAATTATATCACATTTATCCCGATCCCGATTAGCTGTGAATATCGGATCTTGCCCCTCCCCTTTATTATAAATACACTCTCGAAACAAACTCGTTACATTTCGAATACTGTGCTGATGATACCTTGGACGCTACAAGTAAATGTTATCATTTATATTATTAAAAACACACTTACATTCGAATACACAATTTAATCATATTAAATAATGTTTTTTTATGCAGGAGGATGCCCAACTGAGAAATCTACACAGTTCGCACGGTTCGCTATGGAATCGAATTTCTGAACAAATAAACAACAGAACGGCAAGGCAGTGTGCTGACCGGTACGTTTGAAAATATTATTTTACGTGTAAAAAAGCTATTTTTTTTGTTCGGCAAATGTCGTTGCTCACAACACTACCTCTAAATCTTTTATTGTCAATATACAAGGTGGCATAATTATTTATCCCCGAACAGTAAGTATTGCAACTGATTAACACACACCAAAAATTAAGACAAATATTAACTGAAGAATGTCATATCTACTGACAATTGCTTACTTACAGTTAATACTACGCCGCTAACGCACTTTGAGCGGCAGATGGTTCAGCAACTATATCAATCTTATGGGCCACAGTGGAGCCGCATTGCATCATTTATTCCCCGCAGAACATCGCGGATGGTCAAGAACTGTTGGTATTCGATGAGACGGGCGGAGTTCAGACGTATCCGTCAACGAATGAGCCTTAACAACATATTAAACTAGCGTGCCAAGAAAATATATAAGATGTAAGCATAATAATAAGGTAATCTTATGGAGGTTTCTAAGTTAACTGACTGTAATAATGGTGGGTATGGGTAATTCATATTACTTAATCTATGATTAGAAAACTTGCACGCAGTATTCTTTCTATGTAAAAAAATAGTCTCTTAGAAAACAATTAGACCACTTGACCAAATATTGCTCCTACATTGTCAAAAGCGATACATGCATTTTGCCGAACAAAAAAATAAATAAAAAGATAAACAAATCCAATTTCCGTTATTGAAAACTGCAGTTAAATTCATCAGACATGAATAATTACAAGTATGAGCCCCAGTGTTTAATGTATGTAAATATAAATAACACCTAGACTCTATTGAATAAATTGTTTCAGGATTATTGTTACGAGTAACTTATGTTGAATCTGATTGTTGAAATACATACGACAAAAAAAATTTTTTCTGAACACATATGACATCAATTTGCATGGATTATTGCTTAGTATATACTCTTTATTGACTTGTCGAATCACGATTCAAAGTTGAATAAGTTGTCCTCGATATCGCATCAACAATGAGTTGGCGTAATGGCTTGCTGCTGAAATGGAAACCACAAGACTAATATGTAAAGCCACGATCGGGGGAAGTGTTTATTGTGTCCGAGGTTACTAATTTTGTGTATACTGTTTGTTAGATAAGCAATATGCGCCTCAGCCGCTTAATATATTCTGTGGTGATGGCTAAAGATTGCGACCGACTCATTGTTGTTCAATATTTACAATGGTTTGATACTAGTAGACGGCAACAGTTTTTGTCTAAGGAAATGGCGTTATCAAAAAGTACAATCGTTTGTTTCAAAGTACGGCCAGTTTTTTTTTGAGTGAGAATAAACAAGTGACCCTGATTCTCAATCACAACGGGCATCTCTTTTTGGAAAGCAATTTGTACTCTTTGGGACCCATGTCAAAGATAATCGATCGGTGAAAAAGTATAATTAAACTATCCGAATTAGATATTACATGTTCCCCTGTTTAATGATTAATATGGCATGCGCAACAACTGGTATTTCATACGATGCTTCATTGACCAAGACCTTCAATTTGTAACCATTTTCAGAACAGAGCATGATCGAATTACTAATATGTAACACAACATAATTAATGTAACAGTAGAGCGAAATGGAAAGTATCATCGCTGTAGGTCCGTACTCTTTTTACCTTTGCATGACTTTGAATTGCCTATTTTATACTATTTATGTTGCACACATAGTAGTCTTCTATTCACAAACAAGATAATGATATTTGAATTACATTTTCCTGTTTTTCGTTATTACGCAATTAACTATCAACAAACAGACTTGAATAATTAACGTAAAATTATGCAATTAAAAATCATTCAAAGATTACGCCATACGAGAAATACACAAGTGTTATTTTGCAGCGTAATAAAAAGATCTGGTAATGTTGTAATAACGTACCACCGTTCCACGACTTGTTAAGGTTTAGTCCAGCAAAGACAATTCATAGTGATAACAGATTAGTGTCCGAAACTCTCAAAAGATAATAAACCCAACATTGGTTAATAGCGGACCTGCTCCGATTAATAATTGTTTACGGCGCATATTTTTCTAAAAGTAACATTTATCTAAATTATCAAGTTACTTGTTTCGGTCTGTACATGCTGTACGTACACTGCATAATTGTTTAGAGTAACCAAATTAGGGCTGCAGTATTAATCACTGCTTCCCTGTTTCGATTGTTTCTTTGGTCATTCATTGAACTATTCTAAAACACTATGCAATAAGAGCGTACAAAATAAGGTTTGGATTTGGACGCCCCTAATATGTGGCTAATGAATGGGGGAACGCCATCTTATGGCTGTTGTGATACAAAGGGGTCCGTGTCCCCGTGTTGTTTCAGTATCAATTCATTCATTGGATAACTTCTCTAATCCATCATTACAGTAATCGAATTAACATTACCTCATTATGCATATATTAAGTGAATTGAATTAAAAGCATAGTGTTGGACATTCGATTTGCACTGTAGAGCTATCGAACAACAACTTTAGTAGCTCAGACCAGCCTTACGATGGAATTACTATTATATCAGCTGACCTACAGTATATATAGCCGCCATTCTACATGCATGTCATACAAGTCTTGATATATTTAGCCCTGTACAACAAACAATTTAGGTTAGGTTATTTAAGTTATTAGATCCTAACTTTTATGACATAAACAAACCCGATCGTAATAATTAAACTTTTTACTCTAACCTTATTTCATGAGATCTAATACTCCTTATAAAGCGATATTAAATAAAGAATTACTGTATTATAAACTTCATCCACTTGTCGGAGATACAGTATTAAACAGATTAGTGTACTAGGTTTTTCATTACAACTTTAATTTAATCAAGGAGCGCTCGCTTATGTAAAATCGATTTCCGTATTAAAAATCCACACAATCTGCAAAATATTGTTAGATTGTGCATTAAGGTTCTCTTATAAGTTTGTAGAGTTGGAAAATTATATTTGCGAACACACTATAGTTAATTGTCTATAATATACACGTAAACCGCTACTTTTTCCTCCATTACTGTATTTGTGACTGTTTAATATGACAAATTTCGAGGCACCTCGTGTTTTATCTGTCATTGTAAATTTCAATATGCCAAATATTCGTTAAAACACTCCAATGTTGGTTGTCAGTCAGCAAACATGCCGTTTGAAACTATATAAATATAGATATTGTGGAAATCATGGTCGCAAACATTTAAACTGTTATAAGTAAACCAATCCCGGTCATTCTTTTTGATGCTGCACTTGTTGTCATAATTATAAAAGCTTACAATGTATGCTTGGTATATCTATACATTTAATTCGCGAGAATAGTCTGCAGTTTTTAATACCAAACAAATAATGACATCAACATGTGTATGTCATAGGTTTGCGCCACGAATAAATATTACACTACCATAAATAGTTATGGGTGCGATAATTTTTCTTTACCATTATCTTGTCGTAAACCCGACATGTATAAACATATTTTATAGCCAGTAAAAATACCAGGAGAAGTCTTCTAAACGACAGAACCTGTGCATCTCATCATAATTCTTTGGTCTTATCTACGAAATTGACTTTCTGAATCAGTTACTTGTTTGATCACCATCAGTGCTGCAGTAACAAGAGATCAACACAGTGGCTACACTATGGCGGCTTGAATCAGGAACTTTATTCAAGAAGGCACCCATACATAGGAGGAATTTTCTATGACAGACACAACCAATAATAAATAAGCCCACTTTGTTGGATGAAACTTCGACTTTGACATGTCTAACCAATGACCCTATAACAAAAAAATGCATACCAACACTACCAAGTGGGCATTGTCGAACTTTTATAACCTCAATGGATAAAAATACAACTGTTTGTTTGAAGTCGGTTAAAAACGAGTATTATCAAACCATGGATTTGAAATTTTGTAAAATTTCACAAAGTTTTATAAACAAAGAGCGCAAAGACACATAATAACAATTAATCTGATATTGTTTATTTTTTATCAAGCACCACCTGCTTTACACAACTCTATTAAGACAACGTATATATAGAGATGTTGGGCAATAAAAAGGGTAAACACAAGTTTAACATAATGGTATTACTTATTATTATTATAGCATCGTATAAACTGTGCCAGTAATTGTCTGGGAACAAAAGCTTTTTGAAAAAGCCTCGATGCATGCTTTGATATTGTTTGAAACCTATTTTCGACAGTAATTATAATGGGTAGTATATAGTAGGGGCAAGGGTCTTTTGCTATATACACAATTACTGGCATTTATATATTTTGTTTTCATACGTTAATGTAGTTTTACTTATGAGGTATAGACAGAAGCAAAGTGTTACGAATAAGCAACGTTTCAAAATAATGTTTATTATGCAAACTAAAACATCACGTTATAAATTACGCGTATGATCATAACATGCTGTACATTAATCGTAATACTAGACTGTGGTTCAATCATACCAACATAGCAGATGTTTATTTAGATACTTAAACTGTTTGTAATCAATTATTTTTACTCCGGTGAAAAGTGTATGTCATCTTGCATAGTCTGTAGCTTTTCTTCTGAATATAAACAAACCCAACAAAGATAGATGTATTTTGATTATAACACAATTAAAGTTAGAATAAATTGAATACAATTTGTATTAAAACAACTGAGTAGTAAACCATACTTATACACAACTGATATCAAATTCTAAAATAAAATATTAACTGCGCATGGTAAAATGTGTTCAAAATAGCTGTTATTATTCATATTATATTGTATTTCCTCAGTTGACGTTTTTCTCTATTACTATACAATTAATGTTTTTATATTTACAACAAGGACCGAATCAATAATACTTATCGAATACGTACTACAATTGTTAACGTCGACTTCCCATAATTGTACAACAAAAAAAGGCTTAGTTTGTATTTATTTGGAGATACAGCACTTGGAATTGTTAACTAATATATAAGTAGTTATTAGTTACTGTGACGGCTGATGCTGCAACATTTGACGTGACGTCAACTCTTTTATTGTTGTGACGCAGCCACTAACCTCTTTCTTCCACAACAGAACCTCTTCCATCATCTTATCAACAGTGATAGTTGGAATATGCCTATGACTGAAAATCCTCCCGTTGTCGAGTACCAAAAAGATCGCATCTACACATTCGAACAATTTGAATTACTTAAAGATTGGCTCGAAACCAACGAGTCGAGTTAGTAATTGACAAAACATGTCGAATTTGACTTGAAGAGAAGGCTCATCCCAATACCGCAAAGAACCATTTTCATGGCGCTTGCCGTTGGAGCGATCTAAACTCAAGTCTACAACTGGAATGTTCGGACTCGGCAGAACGGCGCTGTTACTTTCTCACCGGGTGGTTTTTATTTCTCTACGCCTGGTGGAAAAACAATCAGGACCGATGTTGCCTTCACCCCTCGCGTAATCAAGCTTTCCATCTAATAGAGGTTGAGGATGTTTCCGCCGACTCAAAGTTTGAAACGCTCACAGATAAATTCAAGACCGAATATTTTCCTGCGGGTGTTCAGCTAAGGTTGGTTGGTGGATCCGGTGAACAAAAACATCTGCGTATTCAAGAAAAATAAACATGGAACTATTTACCGCCGGAATAATGGATGGGCGAATGTTTCCGATGGGGACGTATTGCCAGGTTTTATTTTTGAAGTCCAAATAATCGATAAAGTCATCTCGCAAGTATGTTGTCTTGTTACTTTTACGGTGTATAACTCTTTACTTATTGTGTGAATCGGTCACAGAATCTTCGGAATCTTCGGACGGTGACCTCACATGCGGTGAAACCTTCGAGGATTTATAAGACACTGTGAGGATAAACATATACGCAAGAAGCGCATGCAGAAGTGAGATTTGACACTTCACCCATGTTTTCCATGTTCGGGCACGATTATGTATAATTTAATAACGAACTAATACATGAGTCCGTCCATCATTGCATGTAAGAATAGGACGCAAGTCCGTTGTTTTCCTATTGCCACTGTGCTTTTGCGCATCCAAAAAATAAATCTATGTTCTCTGCTTGTGAAATATTGTGCTGTACCATTGATAGATATTGTTATTATAGTATTGTGATTACAGTAACATCCCAGGTTTGTAAGCCATTATTATTCTTTTTACTGAGAACAAAATATTTATACTGTATAGTCCATTATGAACACCTTAGCTGCTATCGTTGCAGCAACATCAGACCCATTAAGGTTTCAGTCAATGTGACTGATAACTACCCCAGTAGACTGTCCCAATCATGGATAGTCAATTGCCACAATTAGCCTCATATTTTACTATGACCTATTGATTTAGTTAGCCATATTTTCGTTACTATTGAATCATATTCCATTACTTGTGAATGAATCAACAAATTGATACTACTTATGTTTTCCCGAAAATTCCACTAAACCTATTTAAATTTATTGACTATACTATTCTTAAACTGCACGTGTGCGTCTTTAACATAGGAAGTTATTGTAAATATATTAGACCGATTTCCCATTTTTCGTATACTCTTGTCACGACTACTAAAACAAGCTTGGCCGTAGTTCAGGAATATTAGACATTCGCTACCATGCAGCTAACTTGGAAGTTGAAGCAGAGTTTCCTGACCTGTACCGAAGCACCTAGATTGATTGCAAAACGCAGTTGGTAATAGTAAGTGTAAATGCAAGACTGATTGTTCACACGAAAATGTTCTTGTCGGAGATTAAATAAGCAATGTGGAATTCACTGTCATCTTACAAATACTGACTGTGTTA